CAGCCCTGCACTGCCCACATCTGCTGGCCTCGCCAGAGCTCTGCCTCCAGCCCCGTCCCCATGGAAACCATGGGGGCCCCCTGCTGCCGTGGCCGCGGACTGGTTTCCATCGGAGCCAGCCTGCTTTCCCTGAGCCCTGCCCCCTGAGTTCGAGCCCCCCCCACCCCGGGTCTCTTCTCATTTGCAGAGCAGCAGCCTTTGGTGCGGGACCCAGCGGCCGCTGCCCACCCTCCGTGCCCAGTCCCCGGGCCGAGCCTTCCCGGGTGTTGGCTCCAGGCTCAGCCCCGTCCTTTCTCAACGACCAGCAGCCGCTGCGGCTCCAGCGCTGGACAGAGGCAGCCCGGCTCCCACACCTGCTGGCGCAGCGGCTCAGGACGCGATCTCCGAGCACCGTGCTCTCTCGGCCTCAGTTTACCATCTGCAAAGCAAGAGCGGGGAGCGCCTCCCGTTCCTGGCCGGGGTGCCCCGAAAGGAGGGAGCGGGGAGGGGGAGGAGGACGCCGGCTCGCCCGGATTCTCCCTTTCAGGGGTTTTTGTGTTTTCAAGGAGGGCTTTTCTTTCCTTTTTCTTCTTTTTCTTTTCTTTTCTTTTTTTTTTTGGTGAGGAAAGGGGTCATAAAATTTGACCAGAGATGGTGGTTGCCGAGGCCGAGCCTGCGGCTGCTGCTCCTGGCAGGTGGCGCCCTGGGAGGTGTCGCCTCCCCTCCCCCTCAGTGAGGAGCCTGGGGCTCCCGCTCACTTATTTCGAAACGTCCCAGATGCCACGGCCTGGCCTCTCCGCCGCGGGGCGGGGCCTGCAGCAGCTTCAGACCCGGAGCGACACGTGGTCGGGGCAGGCAGCTTTCCTCCTGGGCCTCAGTCTCCTCATCTGTAAAGTGGGGTGGTGACCCCGGGGTGTGAGGGGAACTAGAGGGGCAGCGGGTCAGGGCTGGGTACGCGGTAGGTGGTGGCGTCAGAGCGGTGCCCACCCCGCTCCCGCATCACCAAGACCCACCGTGGGCCTGGGCACACGGTCTCCGCAGCCCAAAGGAGAGGTGAGGTGGCACCTGAGTTCTCTGTCCCGGGCAGGAGAGACCTGGGTGGGTGTGAGCCATCGCCTCCGGGTGCCCACCACCCCTGCACCCAGCCCCCCTCCCAGGTTGGTGAGGGAGTGAGCTCGGAGGGGCGGGCAGCGTGGTCGGGGTTGATTTAGACGTTCGGGGAGAGGGGATAATGTAGGAAATGAAGGAAATTTCCCCAGGGGGAGAGAGAAGAAAGAGGAGCTTAAGTGCCCAGATAATTATACCGCCGGG